TGAAAAGTGAGATCTATTGCGGATTTTGTGGAGTCGGCTTGTAGCATTTGCTTACAATTGAGCAACAGTTAGTGAATATTTAGGGAAATTCATGAAAACTCGTTCAAGGAGAAGATAGATGTCCAGCTTCGTAACCAAGATGCATATGAGAGTTTTGCTCCCCTGCCCAATAGTCTGCAACTGTTTAGCTCGTGTTTCTCTGATAAACATCTCCGCAGAGAAGACCTTCTTTCTTCTACTAGTGTCTACCGGCTGGTGAGACAAGGAGGTGAACTAGCTAGACCATAGTAAGCATAAAGGCAGAAGCTTAGGCATCTCGACTGCTCCTGTCTAGATATGGGCTACCTGACGGTCTCTCATGCCTCCTTCGGAGGGAATGAAACCTAGGCACCGAAAGGGTATCACAGCTGAACGATCATTATTACTGCATACATTACTCATAAGGTTGTTCCAAACGCCTTGATAACCCACGACCGGTTCCGCCCTTCTTGAGGCTCATCAAGTAGGCGAAGTTCCGGAGTTGTCGTCAACCTCATGTTCTACTTGAGCATCATAAACGATTGATTCAGCTGGGTCCCAGGTGAGCCTTCCGTAAAAACCGAATTCGCATGTAAGTGAATGTGGTCCCCTAATTTCGTTCAATTTGGGTTCAAGTAGAACATTAGGTTGACGGGAATTCGGGGACTGCGCCTACGGTGTGAGCCCAAAGAAGGGCGAAACCGCTCGTGGACTGTCAAAGAGTTTCAACAATCTTACGAGCAATGTATTACGTCCAGTGCAACATTTTCTTGCTGTATTTTGTCATTCTAGATGCGTTTACCTGCTTGCAGCAAATCAGTTTTACGGGCATCTATTTCGAGCAATCCCCATCAGAATCGGATAGACAGGAGGATCGCCGTTGCTCAGATGAGAATACCGACAATTATGTCGTCACCTTTTGTGTGAAATTATATCATTTTCGATCTGGTTTGAGTGTGACTGTTCTATGTTCGGCGCGATGAACCACCTCTTCGTGGTGCTGACTGGGTTGTTCGTACGTGAGCCTGGGTGAGTCGAGAGGCCAGCAACTCCAGAGAGGGTTAACCATCCTGTTTTGATAACGTACAACACGAATCATCTGGCACCTCCGCCCCAATTCTAACTAGCACATCAGACAGACTCGTGGGGAAGCAGATCCATTTGGTGTAAAATCAAACACCAAGGAGAAACTGATATATCATATCGGCTTTTGTGCACTCCGAATAGAACACAAGCTAACAAGGTCTGCACTGACAGCTTTCGCTATCAATAGTAATTTCTTGAAATCTAAATAAATAGAACCTTCTGATTCGAGAAATGCACTCATTTGCAAATCAATTTGGTTTTCACGAAAGACTCAAACGAATCCCTCGTTTATGATATTCTACAACTGAATGTGCCGCATGCAGGCCGCCAAATTGATTTGCAAATGAGTGTATCTCTCGGAAACAGTCCAATTTGAGTTCAAGTAGAACATGAGGTTGACGGAAACTCGGGGACTGCGCCTA